TATCTTAATTTGGGTTCCGAAGATGAACGAAGGTCTTGTGGGTTTGGAAAGACATGAGGGTGAGTAATTAATGACAGAATTTTCATTTTTGGGTGAACTATCCCTTTAACATATAGTCTTATTGAAAAAAGGTGCCGATTTCAGAATCAAAGACGAAACAGGTCGCAACTTCCTCCACTTTGTCGTTCTTCAACCAAAAGGGCTGAAAAATCTTCCCGAGACAGTCTTACAGGTGTGAAAACCATCCTAAATGTCAAGTTTAGTTTGTCAGATGCAGAACACAGCTCTTTCATTTTGAAAGAAAGCCTAAAGAGTCCAAGTGACCCTGTGTTATGGATTATTACATAATGTACTGTTTTGAACTTGCGTATGTTCTGTATATAGTTATAAGAGCCCATTGCCTCCTCCAGTGTAACGCCGTGAAGGAGATGTTGTCTGATGAGGATGTTGAAGGCTGCACTCCTCTGCACTACGCCTGCAAACTTGGCATCCACGATTCGGTCAAAAATATGCTGGGTCTCAATATCTTTGTGGGTCAAAAGTCACGGGAGAAGAAATCAGCTCTTCACTTCGCTGCAGAGTGAGAACGTTTGTAATTCAGTCACAGTCTCACAGCTATATGAAAATTTTTGCTTATTTTCTTATATATAAGTAATAAGATTTGACCCATAATAACAACATATCAAAGGTATGAGTATTGTGCAGGCATTAAAACGCAAGTTCAAATGAATGCAGCATAACTCTAAGCTTTTACATCTCATGCACTCCTAAACCTGCTAATATTAAGTGTTTTCTCCATATGTCAGATATGGGCGTATAAACACATGTAAAAGGCTGCTGGAGACCCTCACAGACTCTAAAATGCTGAACGATTGGGATGAAAAGGGTCTGACGCCCCTCCATCTTGCTTCAAGGGCAGGACACACTCAAGTTGTGGAGCTGCTGCTCAGAAGTGGTGCGCTTTTTCAAAGGTACACCATTTTTTTGTGGGAAAGTGAAACATCTACATTTTTTTCTACACAGTCATCACAAGCGGTTTTTACATAATTACCAAGCAGTGTTATTTTAGAATCATTGAGATACTATTATAGTGTCATCTTAGTTTAAGTTTTAGTAATTTTCTTGTGTGTGACATTTTTATTAAGGTGTTTTTTTTTAAGTTTTATTAAGAGTTAGTTTTTAGTTATTTTAGTACTTCAGCTTAAATTAAATGAAACTGATTGCCTTAATTGGCAAATAGCTGAAATAAAATATGTTTTAAAAATGTTTTTAATGTAAAATCTGGTAAAACCAATTAGGAACCAACGTCTCAGGTTACTTATGTAACCATGGTTCCCTGAGTAGGGAACGAGACACTGCGTCCTCTAGGGGTCGCTATGGGGAACGCCTCGTCGTGACCCGTGTCTGAAGCATGCATTCAAAAAACACCAACAACATGTTGGCCGGCGACAGCCCATGACGTCAATACCGGTGTGACTATAGTATAAATAGGCGCCGGGAGAACACGTCATCC